CTAGATTGCATTTGAGGATCCAGAGAACAAGAAACAGTCAAATTTTATGCCAGTGGAAAGTTGATATTGACTACTTGGAATATTGTCTTTTACATAGCATAGAATTCACTCCCAAATTCACAAAATTTAGAACCTTAACAACAACAAAACAAGAAAAAAAAAATATATATATAAAAGTACATTTGACTTTGGTTAATTTTTTTGATGACAGTAAATATACAAGTATAATTACCATGGCAACAGAACCCCTTGAAAGAGGATGCACACAATACCTACCAAATATCTACATCTATGTGTAATTATACTAAGACATCATCAGGTGTAGTTAAAGAGGAAATTGTTTCAGGAGGTCTGGATAAGTGATACTGGACGATAAGTGACAGCATGTTACATGCATTATCTGCTAGCAAAAAGAAAGGTTCATGTAACTTCTCGCTTTATATAGAGATCATGCAAAATTTCTGTTTCAGCATAACCAATTATTGACTTTCCAAGTTACATATAAGCCAAATGCCTTGAATGACAAGAGTGGGTTTGTTTCTTCTTCACTGTGGTATGTAAAAGACAATTTTATAACCAACAGATTTGTGGCTTTTGACAAGCAGAACTTTATTTCTTTTTTGGTCTCTTCCAGATTCTTCAACTACAATGATGCTGAAGAACTAATTTTGCAAATTTGCTAAGAGTGGAGAAACTAGTTATGAATTTATAGGTTTCGTATATTCCAATAATACTGACTGAATTATACTTTAATTGAATTTTCCTCATTACATTATTTTACTTTATATTTTATTCTGTTTAGATTCATTATATATCCAGATTCTGTACTTTTTGAATATATATGTGTGTGTATGTGTATTTTTTTTTTTTTACTTTATTATTTAAGCATTAAAATTAATTATTAAAAAAAATGAAATACAATTTCTCTAACTCAAGAAAAAACTAGAACAACATGTCTAGAAAACTGGAAGGCAAATGGTAACAATTGGAAGGAAGAAAAAAATGATTTAAAAAAATACTAAAAATAAAAAAAAATATGACAAATAGTGATGACATTCTATACATACGCACATATGTGCAGATGGGGACATGGGTGCACTTGCATGAATACACACACACTATGCAAAAAAAAAAAAAAAAAAAATGGAATGAAAAGTGCATATAAAAAAAGAAAAGGCAAGAAGCATAAGCAGTCAATTGCTGATATCCCCTGATAAGGGGATGGTGTAATTCCTGGAGGGTCTGTCTGCAAAACTAATAGGTATGATGCTGAAGGTGATAAACCTTTTACGTATGTGTGTGTACACACACACATTATATATATATATATATATATATATATATATATATATATATATATATATATACAGGGTGCCCATAAATTTTTGTGCACTTTAAAAAAAAAATTATAACTTTATTTGTATTTGCGATAGAAATAATCTATAAAAAATGCTATAAAGTTTAAATGTACCTAGTTTTAAGTATATCTAAAATAACTAATGTGATTTCAGGCATTACTGTAAATCAGTTGGCAAACGTTTTCTGTGAACTGCAAAATCGTATTACCTTTGTATTGCTAATGATGGAGGACATGTGGAAACTCAAATAAAATTTCAATAAAACCTTAAAAAAATACAGATTTACTTCTTTCTAATCCTTTTTACAAATTATTTCTATCACAAATACAAAAAAAGTTATAAATTTTTAAAACTTTGCACACGAACTTTATGGACACTTTTATATATATATATATTATATATATATATATATATATATATATAATATATATATATAATATATATATATAATATATATATATATATATATATAAATATATAATATATATATATATATATATATATATAATATAATATATATATATATAATATATATATATATATATATATATATATATATATATATATAATATAAATATATATATATATATATATATATATATATAATATATATATATATATATATATAATATAATATAAATATATATATATATATAATATATATATATATAATATATATATATATAATATATATATATATATATATATATATATATATATATATATATATATATATATATATATATATATATATATATATATATATATATATATATATATATATATATATATATATATATATATATATATATATATATATATATATATATATATATATATATATATATATATATATATATATATATATATATATATATATATATATATATATATATATATATATATATATATATATATATATATATATATATATATATATATATATATATATATATATATATATAAATATATATATATATATATATATTATATATATAGTATTGTTGTTGACAAAAAATATGAAAATTAACTACATTTTTAAATTAAAAAATATTTTTCTGATTCTAAATATAGATTCTAGCATAGTATGAAAAATAGGGGGTTGCACTATACATTAATAATTTATCATTTTTTTTTTGAAGATGTTAAAGATCATGCAGTTTCAGTGGCTGTAACCTACATGGTAGGTCTAAATTCTTATAGTACCTTTATCTAACCTTAACAATACAGATAAGCTCCTCTAGCCTGCTACTTGTAACCTAGATTCTTTCTTTCTGTTGCTACATGGACAGGTGAAAGTCATTTACTGTACATGCCACTTAAAATCTTCATATCCTTTATTTTACAATAAGTCATTTTTATTACCATTTTGGGAAAGCTTTGTACAAAAGCTATAAAATATTTCCAGGATAATGCACAGTACTGCAGTTTTTGACTATGGTAAGCCTAGTACTATTGCTCAGAAGCTGGGGTGCATTATACATTAGCCATAAGAAAAAAAAATCAGTTTTACAAGAAAAAATTCAAGCATCGCCCTATACATGAAGTAAATTTATACATGAGTATAATGTTTTCCAACTCAATTTCCTCACTCAATAAATTCTTGCTTGCCACCTTTTAAAATATATCTTCTATGTAATAGCAATTTTCTTACATGGCAGTTAATTTGGAACAATTTCCTGACAGATGAAGCAGAGATCTGAGGCAACAGAGATTTGGTTCTACAGAAGACTGCTGAGAATATCATGGACAGAGCATATAAGTAAAAAGAAAGTTTTAAGGAAGATGAAAACAAAAAGGACACTTATATTCAAAATCAGAAAAAGACATTTGAAATTTCTCAGACTGTTGTAACCTAGGGAAGGTTACTGAATAGAATAATCACACGAAGGTTGGTAATGAACGATAATACTTAGGACAAGAACAACACATATAAGATTCACCAGCAACATGTAGAAGATATAGTCAACTGCTAGAAGTGAGTCAAGTGAATTCCACATTGAATCTCCAACTGAAGGATATTTGCCAACTACCCCACGCGGTCAGATGTGGCACAAGGCCGAATTTAACGTGGGGGTATCCGAGCCTGTAGGCTTGGGAAAAAATTCCCCATAGACCCCATAAAAAATGAGGTTGGGTAGCTCTCTACCACCCCAGACAAGAGATTGCCCTTCAGCATAGCTTCATCAGGGTTCATCTCTGCCCGAAGGTAGGGAGTTCGACCAGCTCAGCTGGAGACGAATCTCCGACTGAAGACTCACATACAGTATTTACTACTGTATTTATGTCAATGGGGACATACCCATTACAGTCTGTAGGTATGCTACAACAGAGACATAATGAGAAAGAAGGGCTTGGAGAATTTGATACTTATAGGACATGTTGAATGTAAAGGAACAGAGGAAGGCAGCACCTACTTGATGAACTTGCATGAATGGACAGTGGAAGGGGGTGGATGGTTTGTTTGTGGTTGTTTTTATTTAGCGGCATATCAACTACTTGCAGGTTAGTTAATGCTGAAATCTAAACATTTTGTACAACATTTTTTTTTATTTATTTATTTTATTTAATATAATGAACCCAACTGGAACTGGAGCTCAGCTCTCAGATTAACAATTCTGAGTCATTAGATATTACACAACCCACACATCCAAACTTACAGCACCTGGTATTCCCAAGTGGTCACCCATCTAGTTTACTGACCAAGCTTGATGTTGCTTAACTTCAACATTTCAAAATAATTAAGTGAGTGGGAGATTGAAAGAATGTTACAAAGATAAACATTACCAAAAACAACAAGGGATAGGAAGTTATGGAGAGCATGATCACCAACATCCTGAATGAGCATGGTACATTAAAAAAAAAAAAAAAACTGCCACCTTTTTAAATCCCTTATTCAACATCTTTTTAAATTCTTGCAATAAAAGATTTGCAGTTCATTTGAATTCACTGATGGCTGGAGCTACACAAAAATATGTCCTAAATAAAGTATTTATATACACTGACTTGTTCTTGAGAATATAAATTTATATAAGTGCTTTACTATCATAATAGAGGCTGTTTAAATGGGCATGTGGTTAGGATGTTTGCTTTCTTACCATGAGATCCAGGTTCGAATCTCAGTATGGTCAATTTATCAGGAAATGACTTCTTGATGTTATCGGCCTGGAGGAGGCTATTCCAGTATGTTGTATCTTTGGAAAGTGCCTGAAAACCATGCCATGAGTTGACCCAAGCCCTGTGAGTGAAATTGGGTAGACAGAAACATCAGGAGCCATCAGTAGTTGTGCTAGTACGAAGTCACAAGTCATTGGGATTAAGGATTTGAGTGTGCTAGCCTTGTTCAGACTGTTGATCATGCTAGATAACGTACTCTCTCCCAGAAACTGTAACTAAGGTCTGCTCAACATAGTTGCAGTATGAACCACAGGTGGGTTCTGTGGGTGTTAAACTAACATAAATGTGCCTGAGTAGGCATCTACAATGGGGATTAGCTAGCCATCCTAGTAGACTGGCATTCTTGGATCTGAGTGGCTGTGCCATTTACATTTATAGGCTGTTTATGCAAAACATGATAGCACAATTAGGCAAAACTTTCATTCACTTTTATGTGTGTACTAGCAGAAGTACCCAGTCCATGACTAGATTAAAAGGAACACCAGAGAGAGATAGAGAGAGAGAGAGAGAGAGATAGAGAGAGAGAGAGAGAGAGAGAGAGAGAGATAGATAGATAGAGATAGATAGAGATAGAGAGAGAGATAGAGAGATGAGAGAGAGAGAGAGATAGAGAGAGAGAGAGAGAGAGATAGAGAGAGAGAGAGAGAGAGAGAGAGAGAGAGAGAGAGAGAGAGAGAGAAAGAGAGAGAGAGGGATGGAGAGAGATGGGAGAGGATGGGGAGATGGGGGAGAGGGAGAGAGATGGATAGAGATGGAGATGGAGAGAGAGAGAGAGAGAGAGAGAGAGAGGGAGAGAGAGAGAAGAGAGAGAAGAGATAGAGAGAAGAGGAGAAGAGAAAGAGAGAGAGAGAGAGAGAGAGATGAGAGAGAGAAAGAGAGAGAAAGATGGAGAGAAAGAGAGAGAAAGAGAGAGAAAGAGAGATAGAGAGAGAGAAATAACAGAGAGGGTATATTTTTGTTACATAAAAATCAAAGTCTAAATTTTTTTATCCTTATTAAGTATACATTTTTCATTATTTTTTTTAATCTTATTTTATGTTTTTTTAGGTAAACATAGCATAGCAGGAGTACCTGGTGCATGACCAAGCAAAGATGAATTGAAGCAAATTCCTTATCAAACTAAAAATAATTTATTATCCAGATCTACAACCTCATTTACAACATAGGAAATATTCTTTGTAAACATGACAATTTGCTCTCTGCAATTTAGAACTAATACTGTCAAGATATTTAAAGTCTGTGATTAATCCAAAAGGGCTTCTGGATAAACTACATTGCAGGTCTGATTATTTGGAGTAAGCATGCTTAGTCTTTTTGCACTTCCTGTCTGTGATACTCCAATATGCAACTGTCCATGTGAAAAGCATGGGACAGATAGGTCAATTCCAATTTCCTTCAAGGTTTGTTCTTGCACTTTATGAACAGTCATAGCAAAATGGTGCTTGTATGGAAACTGGAGCCTTCGAAATTTGAAGGAGATCTCTGTATCTGACGGAAATCGCCTTTATTTGTTTCTCAGAAATTGTAACAATAAAAAGTTAATTAAAAATATGTCTTTATTGATAGGTAGAACATTTCAGCATTTCTTCTCACTATAAATAGCATATGTCTTAAAAACACCGAGTTTACACTGACTTAAAATTAATTTTAATGACACAGAAGCTAAGAATTTGTGTATTGCAATATTCTTTTATTTTAGGAATTTTTGGGGTTGAGTTACAGTGATAAAAATGTATTCTTTTAATTTATTTTCTTTTACCTTGTAAAGATTTAACAATAAAAAGTTAATTAAAAATTTCTCATTTGTAGGTGGAAAATTTGGCATATTGTTTCAAATGAAAAGTATTCATTTATCCTAGAAAAAGTTTTTCTTAAAACAAGATTAATTGAAAATTAATTTATTTTATTCTTTAACCTCTAAAAATATAAAAAGAAGCAAGGAGTCTTCAATTAAAAATTGTTTAAAAAAAAAAAAAAAAAAAACACGAAGAATCAATGAGAAACAATGTATTCATTTAATTTGTTTTTTTGTTTTTTTACCCTTTAAAATGTGAAAATGGGGAGGTACAATAAAAAGAAGCTAAGAATTAAAAAAGTAAAATTTTGCATAATTCTGTGTTTTCATTTACATTTAAAATAGTATTTAAAAACAGGTACCCCTTGGTTCAAAACATTTCAGTCTCCAATGAAGTAAGAATTTTTTTTACAATTACTACTAAATAACAAAATTTTCAGAAGAGCATTTAATTCAAATTGTTTTTTTTTATTTACCTTCAAAGATTTTCGCAATGGAATCTGTATAATGTTCAAATATGTCACATCTTAAGAATAACTGAATAGTTTCACATGATTTTCATGCTTACTTAAAAAGAACTGAAGTTAATTTCAAAAAGTTTCGCTAATGGAATCTGTGTGACATTTGAATATGGTTGTTCTTAAGAAGAACTTACTGGAAAATAATTGTGCGAGTTCCACAAATGAATTGATTCTTAATTATTGAATTATATCATTTAAACAGTAACAATCAAAAGCTAAATTCTGTACTTTTCATTAGTATAAACATATTAAAGTGTATGCATGATTTTAATGCTCAATAGTATGTCTTTTCTGAGTTATAAGTTGACACGTAAAAAAAAAAAAAAAAAAAAAAAAGAAGACATGACTCCTTTATAATATAGATTGTAACACCTTTGTTAGTTTGCACGACCGTTATGCACTGCCAATACCTCATAAATAATGAACTATTCAGTTTTGATCACAAGGAAAGAGTGGAAAAGACACTACTTGGTTACAGTGAGAAAGTGAAAGAAAGGGAAGATAGAAGTAGAGAAAGCTTAAATATTCAGCCGATAAGAATTGATACTACACTTTGATCTTAGCCAAAAGTCCAAGAAACGATTGTATTTACTTGCCACCCAAAGCTGGCAGGATGTGACACAAGGTCAGTTTAATGTGGGAGTTCAAATGCATGCACCGAGCCAGGTCCAAAAATAACCCAGCCACTGCAACTGTCAGTTGTGCTGGCATTGGGATTACTACCCACCTCCTTTAATACAATGGAGATACTGCCACAGGTAGCAGTTTCCCATGATACCAGGTACCTTTTTCATTTGTGCTTTGTCTGCAGACAAGACATACAACCGAGTTGCACTCTCTCCAAAGGCAGAGACACAACTGAGAGGGAAAATGTAGGTTATCAGCTCCAGGGCAGATACTACACTTTAATCCAAGCCAAAAGGCTGAGAAATTATGACGACTGCAACAAAAGTGTCATTTTTCAGATGCACAGTATCAAACAATGGAAATGAAGTAATGTAATTGCCAAAAATCCAGTTACCATGAATAAAATAACATTATCTGCTGAATTATTTTAAAGTTATTATTAAGAGAAATGTTCATAAGATTTAGATTTGGCCAGTAACAACTAGCAGTAGAGCCCAGCATTGCCCGGGGATGTAACAGTAAGAGATAGCTCAAGTATCGACCATCATAAAGACTGAAAAATAAAATTGACAAAGATTATTATTTAAGGTTGACGGACACGCATGTCTTAATTAGTTTTTTGGGGTTTTTTTTTTTACGAATTGGTCAAACCCAAACTCAAACAAAAACATTGTTTTCAATCATTATGAGTCTACCAATTGAATAGAATTTTATTATAAACAATTGTCTTGTAAATGGAATTTTTAAAGCATTCTGAATGTAAGAGTAAAGAAAAAAGTGTGCAAGATGATAAGAAACACTACCTGCCAAAAAAAAAAAAAAAAAAAAAAAAAAAAAAAGTGAAGTTTTGTTGAAATCTGTTGAAAAATGTAGGAAATCCGATCCCATATATAAATGAACACACACACAAAAACAACCTGGGTTTTATAATAAGTATAACTCTATATGAGTTGTCCCCCCTTTCATTCTCGTGATGCCTCTTAATCGTGTTTTCAAATTGATTTCGTGCAAAAACAATTGTGTTTTTCCAATTTTAGGTGCTGTTAGAACCACCGCAAGGTAATTTTACATAGTCTTGTGAAGTTTTGTTAAAATCGGTTGAAAAATGTAGGAAATCCGATCCAATACATAAACGTACAGAAACACACACAATCTGCGTTTTATAAGTAAGATGATTATATTTGTATTTTAATATTGACTGCAACTGAACCAAATCTACACAAACAAGGTTGACTTTACTACATTACATTCCTGTTTGACATTACTCATTTCCTTCACTGAAAACTAAATATTTATAGTAATGTAAACCAACAAGTTAGGGTTACTAGGAATTGATAAAGATCTACTTACACATATTGTGATTACTGATCAGAGAAAAGCTTCCTCCTAGTCAAATAGTCTTCCTGCCTTGTCAGTTCACTAAAAGTGCCCAGTGATTTAGTTTTTTTTTTTTTTTTTTCTTTATCTTCACTGGGGTTGGTTGAAACATTTTGAAACCCTCTTTGGGTCTGCTTATCAAAGAATAACCAAGCTCATGTGTTTATTCTATCTTTACTGTTAAACTTTGTTCACTTTGCCTTTTATAATCCAGACTGATGAGAGACTTTCTTAATGGTGTATTAATGGCTTGCCCTTTGCCACTTGCCTTATCTCTCTTCTGTTCACTACACAGGTACTTTGCTTTTTACAGGAAGAATCCTTATCACCCAACAATTATAACAACATCATTGGGTCCTAATTGGCCAGAGATAAGACTTCAAAGAAACCCAAAGTAACATGGTATAGCTAAGTGAATAGCTGGTTGGAAAGGAGTAGTCCAGTCTGTGGATCCAGCTAATACAGATCCGAATTCTTCTTTTCACACTCGGGGAAACGGTCTTCCCCTCCCACTGTGTCGGGTTCACACTGGGAACGGTCTTCCCCTCCGACCAGGGGTTCACCTGGGACGGTTCCCCCCTCCCGACTGTGTCGGGTTCACACTGGGAAACGGTCTTCCCCTCCCGACTGTGTCGGGTTCACACTGGGGAACGGTTCCCCCTCCCGACTGTGTCGGGTTCACCTGGGAGACGGTTCCTCCCGTGTCGGGTTCACACTCGGGAAACGGTCTTCCTCCCGACCGCGTCGGGGTTCACACTGGGAGACGGTCTTCCCCCTCCCGACTGCGTCGGGGTTCACACTCGGGGAAACGGTCTTCCCCCTCCCGACTGTGTCGGGGTTCACACTCGGGGAGACGGTCTTCCCCCTCCCGACTGTGTCGGGGTTCACACTCGGGGAGACGGTTCCTCCGACTGTGTCGGGTTCACACTGGGAGACGGTTTTCCCTCCCGACCGCGCCGGGTTCACTCGGGAAACGGTCCCGATTGTGCTCGGGTTCACACTGGGAGACGGTCTTCCCTCCCGACCGTGTCGGGTTCACACTCGGGAGGAAACTGGGAGACGGTTCTTCCCTCCCTCGGGTTACACTGGGAGACGGTCTTCCCTCCCGACTGTGTCGGGTTCACACTGGGAGACGGTTCTTTCCCCCGACTGTGTCGGGTTCACACTGGGGAACGGTTCCCCTCCCGACTGTGTCGGTTCACACTGGGAACGGTCTTTCCTCCCGACCGTGTCGGGTTCACACCTGGGAAACGGTTCCCTCCCGACTGTGTCGGGTTCACTCTGGGAAACGGTCCCGACTGTGTCCCTACACTCGGGGTTCGGGTTCACACTGGGAAACGGTTCCCCCTCCCGACTGTGTCGGGTTCACACTCGTGAACTTCCCTCCCGACTGCGTCGGGGTTCACACTCGGGGAAACGGTCTTCCCCCTCCCTGGGAAACAAGGCTGTGTCGGGTTCACACTGGGAAACGGTCTTTCCCCTCCCCGACTGTGTCGGGTTCACACTGGGAAACGGTCTTCCCCCCTCCCGACCGTGTCGGGTTCACACTGGGAAACGGTCTTCCCTCCACTGCCGGGGTTCACACCGGAAACGGTTTCCTGACTGTGTCGGGGTTCACACTCAGGAAAACATAGTTTCAAGTAGTCAGGAAAAAGAAAGTGTCATGGGTCCCTGTATTTATAATGAACATGATTCTTTCAAATGTCAGTTTACAAGTCGATTTGCATATGTGCCTAGTAACAACACCAAAAGAAATGATGAGGAAACTTCATCTTCCAGGCATTTTTGACTTCATAGACAATCAAAGTAGAATTGTCAAGTAGTATTAAGAAATAATTAAATTCTTTTCCTGAATTCTTCTCACAGCAAGTGGTATGTTAGGTGTGATCCTACTAGCTTAAACTAGTTAAAACCGTACTATGTCATTAGTTCAAACCCAGACAATTTCAGGTGCTAATTAAATTTATTAATTAAATTCTTATTATTCCAACAGCTCAGTTTAAGTAGGCGGGGGCAGTCCTCAGGGCACATCTAATAAGATAATAAAATCCAAATTGCTAAGCTTGGACATCTTGTCTTTTCTCATCAACTTAATTCTCATTCCAACCATCCACTAGATATAGATTCATTTATTTATAACATCCACCAATAGCTGTTTGAGGACCAGAAATAACTATCTGTTAATTGAATTTCACTTCTTTTGACTTAAAATTTGCTTGAGAAGTTTCCACATTCAACCAGTCTCTTATTATTTAGCCTAAGATTTTTTTCAGAATATTATTAATAAATAATAAGATTTTCTCTTTAATGTAACAAAATAAAAAAATCAACTTAGTATAATACCCATTCATCAAACCATATAATTATCATCAATGTGTATTTATTTATATATTTCCTGTCACTTCTGTAGCGGGAGGGGTGGTAACTTAATTTAGTAAATTTATGAGTAATTACTTCCCATAGTAATTTAATAATCTATACAAATAAAATATTTATCTGCATTTAGACATATTAATTCCAAAACAAAATTCTTTAATTAATCATTTCTTTTACTCCTACGTTTTAGACTGCAGTCTTATTTGTTCAAGCCTTTAATATGAGGCACTCAGATACCTTTGTCTATTAAATGATCTTCTTGCTTCAAGTTGATGTTGAAATAGGCTTTGTCATTCTGTTGCTAATCCTTTTCTTCTGAGAGATATTTGCATTTCACTGTTATATTAAACACATAAAATTCTTAACATGAAAAGATATTGAGAAAAAAGTGATTTATATAATCCCAGAAGTGAGCAATGAACCATAGATACCACTGAACATCTATATGAAAAAAAAAAAAAAAAAAAAAAACGTATAAATGGAACGGATTAATTAAATGATTCACTGGCCTCTATTTTAGTTGTAATTCTTTATCTCTACTTTATTGAATCTCAATACATTGATTCAAGACTTGTTTCATTGCATCCTACTATTAAAACTTTCTAACAATTGCCATCATTTTTGACAGCATGAGTACACTAGTACTAATAATAACACAGAATACTGCCTAAAGACTTGCATATTTCTCTCTGGTGCCAGTGTTTACACACACACACTTGGAAGACTTACACAAAATGTTCTTCGAACCTCCCATCTCACATATCCATTAATAAGCTAATAAATACAAAATTCATCACTTTCTGTCCTGTGAATATGTAACAGAGCAGTGGCCCTGACTGAGTTATATTAGTGCATGATATATTGTTCGGTGACTTGAGCTTTTGAGAGACTTAGTTATCCTGAAAGATGGAGTAGAGAGAGAAAAATATGAGTGTGTGGTTAATCGGGCTGGAACCTGATCAAAACAAATTGGGTTTAAAATATCAATTTGAACCTATAAAATAGGTATGGAGGAACGCATTGGGAAGATTTGAATCTGAAATAAAGATTTAATAAAATCCAGTATAACTGAAATTCTATACCTAGACCCACAGCCCCAAAGAAGTCATGATGACATGACTAATGTGTTTACCAAAATTCTGCAAAATCAAGACAAAATTAGGGAATGTTATTTTAAAATCCTATCCAGCAGAATTTACATAGAAAGATTACCAAAATGTCTAGCTTTGAGTACTTTAGAAGCATGGGTCACATACAATGCTAATAGGATGTTCATTGTTGAACAAAGGGGATCTTTGTGCAGGGGGCTAATTTATCAAAGTCCCAGTTGAGAGAGAGTTATCCTCATAAGTTCACATGTCATTTTACTTAGTTCCATGTTTGGCAGTCAAGACAACCCTGCAGTCAGTTTTTGTTAAAATTCTAGCAGTAGTGAACTTGGCAACCCATCCACATTTCAAACATTAGATATCACTCAATATCTTAAGGGAAAAAAGAATTTACTAGAGTCGAACCGCATAAGTGTGATGGTTGCAACTTTCATATTTTCTCACCATTAATTGTTGATAGCTTTTATCAACAAAGTTTGTTCTTTCTGCTATAAATTTCCTGCCATTCAAGAAAATCAATAAAATTGAAATATCACCTGAATCACAAACAAGAACTACAGCCTGTTGAAATCAACAAGACACACTTAATTCAGTTCAGCAAACGCACAAAGTGAAAGACTTCTGTGAGACATCACAGGTCCAGTGACAGAAAGTTCACATCCTTCACCAAATTTTAACACCAGGAATCAAGATCACCAGCTAAAGTTTATATTAAACATAAGGTTATCAGAAATGCTGATTATATCACATTTAGGTCAGAGGTCCACAGTGACAGAAAAAGTGACCATTACATATGGGTGCAGTGACTACCCCACCATGTTATAGATATACATAAATTTTCATTAATGGAGGGAATAGCTTATAACATTGTTGCAATGCAAAACTTTTCCTTTACAACTTCACCACAATATTGTTAATCAAGTATAAAGTAGTTAACTTTATTTTTCTCTAGACAATACAAATCCAGAAGTTTATGTCCCAAAAGTAAACAACTAGTAAAAAAAAAAAAAAAAAAAAACTGATCAAAAAAAATGTTTATTTTTTTTAAACTAGGTATTTAGAAATCCTGCTTACTGATATAATGATCTAAATACAAAGAAAAAATATCATTTGGTGAGGGAGGAGATGAAAGGTTGGTATGGGAGAGATCTATATTTATATAGGTATAAACTATTATGCACACACCCATTAAGTCAGACATATCTATTTATATAGATATGTACTGTATTGAAAACACGTAAAAATATTAGTGTGTACATGCACAAATACATATACACACATATATTCAAGCAGACAAATTGTCAAGAACAGAAAGAGACAAACTCAAACAGAAGGTGACCCAAGGCCAAGTGGGTGTCCCATAAATACATGGGACAAAAACAAAAATGTGCACAAGCTCCCTCAACATTTCTCCTTTGGTAACAGCTCAGGCACCAGAAATGAAATCTATTCCCCCTCTTGAAGATGTAATGCCTAGAGGGTTGGCACCTGGTGTTCAAGAGCATTATACTATATTTTAATCCTGATGGGGGTCTTAGTATAAAAACATACCTATCTTCATAGGTATATTTATTAGGGTTATCAAAACAGATACATTTCATAAAAGTGAAAGTAAAATGAAAATAATAAATAAGAGAATAGGTATAATTACTACAACGGCAATTCAAACATGAGGGAAAAAAAAGAAACAGTGGCAAGTTTATATATACTGATATATTATTAATATATGCATATATTCTATCCTCATTTAGAATATTTGACCTCTTTTAGTCATGGTGCAGATGTGTTTTAATTCATCTATCAAATACTAAAGAGAGAGGAATGAAAAACAGTCAGCATTCTGTGTTTTGTTTATTTTGGGTTATGGTAATTATACCAAAAAATTACATATACACACATATATAATTAAATAGTTAAGAAAGAGACAACCTTAAGGTTCCATGACTATAATTTATTTCCTCAGTATATATATATATATATATATATATATACACGGTGAGGAAAAAGTTGCACATCATAGGGGTAAATGGATTGGCTGAAGAGATCATGTTGTGTAGTCACCAAAGTCACCAGACCTCACCCTTGGGTTTTTTTGTTTTTTTTTATCTGTAGGGCCATTTGAAATCAGTTGTTTATAAGATGTGCCCAAGAAATATTAAGGAAATTAAAGAAAGAATTAAATATAAATGCAGTAAAATGACAGAGGAAACTCTTCGACATGTTAATGAATCATGCAAGCACAGAATTGAAATGTGTTTGGAAAAAGAAGAACATTTTGAACAGCATATATAACAATTAAATAACTAGTAAATAACATTTTCATGTGTAATTATTCTTTTAATAAATTATCCCTGTGGTGAGTGACTTTTGTCTTGCCATGTGTGTGTGTATATATATATATATATATATATATATATATATATATATGTCTGTGTGTGTAATGGGTACATGGATGAGTGGTTAGTTCATTCACTTTCCAACCATGAGACCTTGGTCCTGTTCCCACCATGTTCAATTTGTCAGGAAGGTGACTTCTTAATGTTAAGTCTGAGGAGGCACTCCCACCATGTGGCATCTTTGCAAGGTACCTGAAGGTCATACTAGGTGTTGACCCAAGTCTTGTGAGTGAAACTGGGTGAGCAGAACTATTCATAAGACAATAGTTGTGCTAGCATGAAGTCTCAAGTCATCATGATCGAGAGTTTCAGTGTAATGGCCTCGTTCAAACTGCTGATCATACCAGATGATGTGCTCTTTCCCAGAAACTGTAAGTAAAGGCTGCTCAGCATATTTGCAGTATAAACTACAGGTGGGCTTTTTGGTTATTAAACTAATATGAATATACCCGAGTAGGCATCTGCCACAGGGATTGCCAATTAACAGAAATGAGCATGTATATGACGTGGATATGTAAAATCTCAAATATAACTAAGCATAAGGACAATAAGAATAAAGACAAAAGGAAACATTATCTTAGTCAATACTTTCCCTCCTCTGATGAACTTTATCAAGGCAAATGTTAAGATTTTATTTTGCAACAAGTATACATTAGAGTAAAATGTTAGTTTTTCAGAATTTTAAAATTTAAGAACATTCAGGCTAACTGAAAGTCAAGGTAAATTAGGTAAATTATGGAGGATGCTAAGTGA